AAAAAAAAAAATAATAACAAAAAAGACTATTTTAAGATTAATCTGCAAATTACTCCAGGACTAATATTCTATAATTGGTTCAGGTCCTGCAAAACTTTACATACTTAAAAGGTATGTTATATACTTAAAAGGTTGAAAGGAACTGTTTAATTTTGCCAAGATCTGTTTTCTAGAAACTTACAGTTTCCAAAATGGGAATTATTACATGACCACTCCTTTTTCTTTAAACATTTCTAGATGTTCCATGGATGTAAAGCAGGCATTTCTATCTGAGAATAGTTGTTCCTGATTTGAATATAGGTTGAGTGAAATCTGGAAGTACTGGTTTAGTATTAGTTCTATGCCAGGGTACTTTGACAAAATTATGAATATGAAATAATTTGTTTTCCTCTCAACCCTACATACATCATCTTCTTTGTCTCACTAATTCCAGTGTGTAGTAGGTACATTTTGTTGGTTTGTAGGACTACTGGCAAATTAATAGTGCCAGTGTAGCTTTTTAGAGATCCTTTCAAGTTTGAAGTACTCTGTGTGGTATGGCTTTGTTCTGTAGAGTGTGCAGAACCGCCAGGCCAGCTGTGAGTTGGAGTTCTTTCTTTGTGGTGCTTCTGACTACAGAGTCTGTCTGTCCTCAGTTGAAATCAGACTAGCTGGTTTTGGGCGTTGTTCTGTTTTGCAGTTTGTGGCAGGCGACACATGGCTGAACAAGATAAGAAGGGTTTTATTCTTGTGTTAGGGACGTGCTGGGGCTGGGATGGAATTTGGCTATGTTTAGTTTCTGATTGGTCACTTTGGATACTTAGAACTCTGTAACATCCTGTTATTAATTTGTAGTTAAATTAACACATTCATTTGTTCCCTTCCCTTTCCTATAATCTTTTACTTCTCAGCCTCCACGCTTTTTTTTTTTTTTTAAAGCTTTAAACAGAAACTATATTCATAGTTATGTAGTATACTGAACAACCTTAAAATTTAAGTAGTTCTATGGATAACTTTCAGTCACTTGCTTTGTAAATTCTATGAGACCAGGAGACTTGTACTTTTCAGTGTTTATAGCGAGTACATGAAAAGTGGTAGAAATGTCAGCTTATTGCATTCCATCTGTACTGATAGCTGCATTCAGATGTGAAATATTGTATATCCTAATAGTTTGCATTCCTACTATATACTTCCTTGTATTTCTGAGACTGTAGTGATAGAATTTATCCTGAGAGGTAGAGAGCAAAGAAGACTTTTGTAGTGGACTCAGTAAATGATTTTAATCTAGATTCCTTGATAGTATTTTCAGGGTTAGTACAGGTAAGAATGTTGTAAGGGTTTTCATTGAAATAAATGGAACTCTGTTTTGTATAAGGCTTATAGATTTTGTTGTTTTTGATTTGTGAATGAAAGCTTTTGCTATAATGAAATTTTCTTAGCATTGAATACAGCTTTAAGCTTGTTTAACTTAAACTGTTAAAGTAAATGTGGGAATTTTAGCTTTTTATGCATATGCCTATTGCTATGAAAACGAGCATTTTCATTAGGGATACATTTTTCCTGGGATTGTCATATAATGATTTTGGTTTAATGTTTATTTTGTATATTTTTGAAGTTGCACAAATCATCTGAAAGGTGAAAATCGCATGAATTATTATCTGCATTTGTGACATTTTTCTTGTAAAGCTAATCTATTCAGAATTAAAATTGAAGGACCACAGTGCTAGCTTTGAATTATTATGTTTTTGTCTTTTCTTTCAGCTATTCAGTATAAAATCTTGATTCATTTAGGTGTGTGGTACTGTACTCTTACAGTTTTATGTGAGTCAACATTTGGAGTCTAAAGTAAACTTTAAAAATGTGTAGAGCTGCAGTTTTCCTAGTTAATAACACAGTTATAATATGTTCTTATTTATTGAGTGAGTTGATGAAGTTTTATTTGAAATCATTACAAAAGTGTGTTAGTCTCGGTTTCCATCTGTTAACGCCTACTATATGGCATTGAGTTGACATGTAGTTTTTATAACATTTGAGGTAAATGTTCATAAACCTGTTAATGATGGATTTTTTTTTTTTTTTAAATGTATTTGGTACAGGGTCTCACTACACAGCTTGGCCTCATAGTGATCTTTCTGCTTTCAGCCTTCCCAGTGCTGGGACTAGGGGTGTGCCATCATGCCTGGTCTCAGGGCCAGCTCAACGCGCCTGGGGGTGAGGCTGGTGTGGCATGTGGTGCTTGGGATTGAATAAATGATGGATTTTACTTATATTTTTTTCTCTGGAGCATTATGATTTCAGGGCAAAAGTTTGAAAAATCTTTGAAGGTACTTACATTAATGCCTCTTCTAAGAGTTATCCAGAATTGTGTGTGAATTGCCTCCCAACGTGATATGGGTCGTAGAGACAGCAGGATATTTTAATGATTCTCAAAAAGTAATTGGAAGAACTCTTTTGTGTCTTGGTGATCTGACAGAATCGTTAGATATGGTTCTTGTCAAGCTGAGGGTGTTGCGGTGGTAGAGCTTAAATTTGTGTGAGGCCTTGGATTGGATCCCTAGCAAAACACACACACACACACACACACACACACACACACACACAAATGGAGAGAAGGAAAAATATTCTTATAGGATTGCTTATTGACCATGTCACACTTTCATGAACAGGAAACTTAATTTTACTTGAAGGCGTGCTCCTTTCTCTTAATCGTTAGTTTTCAGGATAATGTTGTTTGTATTGAAATTCTAAAATCAGCAATTGGAAATTAAAAAAAAATATGTACAGTCAGTCAAAAAAATCTGTGTATCAGAGGGCCAGCCAGATAGGTCAGTGGACCAAAGTGCCTGCTTAGGCAGAGTGCAGCCGCCAGGATTTGATCCCCTTCTTGCTGTGCTGGCCCCGCCCCCAGGGCGCGCTGAAAGGGCAACTGAGGCTTGGTGCGGTGGTGTGCCTGTAATCCCAGCTTTTGGCAGGCTGAAAACAGGAGAATCACTATGAGCCCGATCTATGGAGTAAGACCCTGTAGACCCTTCCTAAATACAAAAACAAAGCAAAACAAAAAACTGTATATCAAGAAAAAAGAACATTGTATAAATATGATAATACTAAATTTATTGTGACATCATGAGTGTAATACAAGTTGCCTTTGGTCTCTACAATTAGAAGAGATGCTCAAAGTAGCTTTCACATACTTACTATTACTACA